TCACACTGAATTTCTGACATCCGTAGCTGCGTACCAGTTGCGAATTTGACCTACGCGCATGTGACATTTCTGACTGGGAATTACCCCATTAATAATATCATAATTTATTGGCATAATCGCACGACAACTCCGTATCTTACTGCACTCCATAATTCTACATTTTAAATTCCGACATTCCTTCACAGAAATGTGAATATTCAATGTCACTTGCTCCTACCTTGTACTGGAGTGTAGATGTTGAGGTACAGACAGTCCTCGCTCTGGTTCTTCAGATACGGCAGCAGCCTCTTGAGGTATTCCACTCTACCCTTCGGCATCCTCTCCAGGGCGGCCGTCTCGTTGGAGATGTCAGGCAGTTTCTGAGGACACACGGGGCCATGAGTATCCGCTATCCTCACGCCATCCCACGGCGACGGGGTTCGCGTCGGACTGAACCTATTCGATCTTACTGGAGGGGTTGCGTAAGGGATCCCTAAGAAAACTTCGACAGGCTTCAAGTGACGTTGATTCTCCATCGGTAAAACCAGGCCTTGAAGTTTTCCGTAACGCGTTTGAACTATCCGTGTACTCATTACTGGCGTGTTGCCACCATTACCACTCGCTGTACTTACACCGCTGTGGACATGTAATACCTGCAGCACGGTTACCAACTGTACAACTTGAATCCAATATCGGGGTAACACCGAGTATTTAGAAGCACGTCCTGTATATGTAAATTCACCCATAGTGGGATGAGGTTGAAGGGGAAACACACTTATCTCTTTAGATAAAAATTAAAATAATGTACTTTCTTGATAAATGGACCACACTTCACACTTACCCCCGAGTCATTTTGCTTTTAATAAACTCTTCTACATGATCAACCTAACAAACACCACAACCACCACCACCACCTTGAAACCCGTTTGGTTTTAGAGTGTAATAATCACATACGAATATGTCATTACTAAATAATTTTATCACACCAATTATGGACGTCATTGTCCACTATTAAAAAGAATTATAAAAATTTTGTTCACAAATGAGACAGAAACTTCAAATTTAACCATCAGCACTGTACATTCGTTTGGAACCCTTCTTCGTGTCCCTGGAGTGGCCGGAAACTTCGATAATGATAAAATCTTTCATTACTGGCTTTAAAAATGATCTGATATTAAACACTGAAAAAAAAATTTCATTTCTAACTTAAACATGATCGCACATGTAGATAAATATGGGGTACTGAAGTAATATGTAATATTTGCACAGTAAAATAACGGAGAACTTCGTACGAATATTCGACTATGTCCAAAAAAGCTGTTCTTTCCACATACGAACTAAACTTACTTCCAACTTTCCATGCGATATTCAACGAACAACTATGTAGTTACGCATCTGTATATATTTCTCTTCTTAGTAGAGATTCTTTATTCTTGGAGTGGTAACTTTTACTTGTAGTGGTGTAGAAACGTCATGGGTGCGTCTGAAACTGAAAAAAAA